GGTTGTTTTTGTTGTTGTTTGTCTTTTGGTTTCTGAGCCTTTGGGATTCACTCCGGTCACATTTTGAGGCTTTTTTCTGCAACTATGAGTGCTAAAAATGTACTGCTTTTTTTCAATCCAAGATGAGATTCTCAGCTAATCCCATGCCTCCTGCAGCTGGGGCCTTCAGAAACACACCACACATCACAGGGGTTCTCAAACTGGGGTCGTGACCCCTCAGGGGGTCACAAAGTTATTATATGGGGTGTCACAAGCTGTCAGCCTCCACCCCCAACAGTGCTTCACCTCCAGGATTTATAATAGTTTTAAATGTAAAAAAAGTGTTTTTAATTTATAAGGGGGGGTTGCACTCACAGGCTTGCTGTGTGAAAGGGGTCACCAATACAAAAGTTTGAGAACCACTGAGTCGTATTATGAGACTCATGACAAAATCTGTGGCCAGATACAGAAAGGCAGCATGGCGGTAAGCAGATGTCTGGCATGCATTTAGCTCAGAGGGCAGGGATAAATTTCTCCAGGCGGGGCTTGTGCCTTTCCATGTGTGGGCAGCACCTTGCGCATAGTGCTGCTCTCAAAATACATGTAATAAATAAATAAATGTATGAGCCTTTGGTGGTGAAGCTACTGAGTTTGATCCTTGTTGAGGACTGTGGTATCTGTACAGCCATGGGTCACTACAAGATGGCACTCAGATATGGGGCTTGAATTCCTTTGGGTCACACATTTTTGGCTACAGTAGGTCAGAAAAACCTAGACAAAACTATATTCCGTTAGCAAATGCAGTTCCACTAAAATTGAAATACTTCACAAAATCAGGTCAATTTCACTGGAATTCATTTCAGAAGAAAACCAGGAAAAAAAGTTCCAACAATGCTGAAATGGAACTAAACATTTCATTTTTTTATTTGGAAACAACTTTTTGGTTTGCCCTTTTAAAATTTCATATTATATTATATCATAAGGAACATTTTAAAAAATGTCAAAATCAAAATTTTCATTTTTTGTTCTGATTCAGAATGAAGCCAACTTTCAAAATCCTTCATAAATGGAATTTCCATCCTCCCCACAGCTCTACTTTTGACTAGCTTACTTAACACGCGGGGGGGGGGGGGGGGGGAGCGAGAGAGAGAGACCTTGTCACCCTCTGTGGTCAGACCCTGTTGGACAGCTTACCACTTACAGAGGAATTTAGCTCAAATGATAGAATCTTGTGATTGTGGTGCTGAAAGTCAGGGTTTGATTCTCTCCCCCCTCCCACCCCAAAAGGGTGCCATCTATCCAAGTTTTCCTACACCAGGTCCCTTTTTTGAGGTAGCTGTCCCAGATGAAATGGTTCAGGTGTCCCATTTTTTTGTATCTCAGAGATGGCAACCCTATCCCCCATTAATTTCCCCCCCCCCCTTTGCAGTGTACTCACTTTAATCAACTGGCTGAACTATTCAGGCCCAGTGGAAATAGTCAGGATTCTCCGCCAGCGATTCCGGTTTCTTTTCACATGTAACTATTACATAATAATGCATACCTATGAGAGAGAGACAGGGAGGGAAACGTGTTATATTAATGCCACTGCCCCTGGCATTCATTGCACTTACCGAGGAGTCTGGGATAGAGAAGTCATCCCAGAATTCATAGGAATCAAAGGAATTCTGGAACTTGTAGGGCAGGCACCATTAGAAATGTAGGCTGGGAGCAAGGCTTGCTGGGAAGATAGGGAGTGGAATAAAAGCCAAGCTATGTTCTCAGTGTAGAGGTGACCTTGAAAGTCTCTTTTCCTGGGGACAGTCTCTTAGGTCCCTCCAGGCAAGGGCAAACAGACAATGGGGGAGAAAAGAGAGATGAAGATGGAGAAAAAGAAAATATGGATGATAAAAATAGATGGGAGGAAAGAGGCCAAATCAGAGAAAGTCTGGTCACTCACAGAGCTATACACAACAGGGCAGCTTTGCCCCAGCACCATCCGGATGCACAGCCACCACACTACAGCCACAGGTAGCAATGCAATCATGACTAAGGCTAAGATTTTGTCATGCATATTTTTAGTAAAAGTCATGGACAGGTCACGGGCAATAAAGAAAAATTCATGGAAGCCCATGACCTATCCATGACTCTTACTAAAAATATGCATGACAAAATGGGGAGCTGCAAGCTCCCCACACCATCCAGGGGAGCCTGGCTCGGAGCCGCAGTGTCCCTCCACCACCTGCAGCGTCTCGGAGCTCTGGGACATCCCGGCTGCCCGCGGCAGCTCTGTGCTCTGGGGTACCCTGGCCACCCGCGGCGGCTTCATGCTCTGGGGCACCCTGGCCGGGGGACCCACGGGGGACCCATCGCCCACGGTTGCTGGGAGTTCAGGGTCTGCCCACTGCCTGGGAGCTCTGAGGCACCCCTGCCCTGGCTGGGAGCTGCGTGACACCCCTGCCCCCCGCCCTGGCTGAGAGCTGCGAGGCACCTCTGCTGCCCTCTGCAGCTGGGAGCTTGATCCCCGCAGTTCCCAGCTGCCAAGGCCATTGGGGGACCCTACAGCTCCCAGGCGCTGGGGCTCAAGTCACAGAGATCTCTGGAAGTCACAGATTCCGTGACTTCCATGACCTCTGTGACAAAATTGTCACCCTAATCATGACCACCTCTATTTGCATGAGGCATTGCTATGGATTGAACACATGCCCTCTAGAGGGAAAAGGCAGCACGACTGAATTTTGTTCAGTAAGCAAAAGCCAAAAACACGAGACCAGTGATACCATTCAACCACCTGATACTGAGAGAGGAATAGCTTGTATTGGAATATAGACCCAACCTAAAATGTAAAATGTCACGTTTCAAGTGGGTTTCATTGATGGGCTTTAAAGTAAATTTCCTCTGTCAAGATGAAGATTCCAGAAGATAAGATGTTTGGCTTATAGCCCAGTTCTAAAATAGAAAAATTATTGCAAATGCCTCGTTTCTCAGAAGGAACTGGAGGTGATGAAGTGGAATATAATGTTTTATTTTTAATGTTGCTGATGAATGAATGTTGAGTGACTGGGCGATTGGCTAGTTTTCCCCCCCTCCCAATTAGCTATTTTTATAGGATATTTATGTTGAATTTTACATAAACTGGTGATACAATATAATCTCGAGATTTTTTCACTCAGATAAGACCATGTTAACTTCCTCAGACATGGTCCTTTTTCTTTTCTTTCTTTTTTTTAAGCTCAGAGACATCTCAGGCCTTTTTATTCTTTTTAATGTAGGGTGTGAAAGTGTGGCTGCGAGAATGCAGGTGTGTATGAGCACCCATACAACCCACATGGGCAAGGTGCCTGAAAGAAATGTTCCGCAGGTTTAAACAGTCCTAAATGATGTCTCGTAAAATTACTCCCTAAAGTGTGTTCTGTGTTTTATGTTTAAAAATCCTGAGAGACTTCAGCTTGTCCTCTGCAATTTCTGGAAAATGCACTGTCAAACTTCTAGTTATCAAAAATATTCCATTCAAGTCTATGCTATAATTAGGGCTACGATTTTGTCATGGAGGTCACAGAAGTCACTGAATCCGTGACTTCCAGAGACCTCCGTGATTTGAGCTCCCAGCGCTTGAGAGTTGTAGGGTCCCCCGCCACCCTGGCAGCTGGGAACTGTGGGGGCCAAGTTCCCAGCTGCAGAGGGCAGCAGGGATGACCTGCAACTCCCAGCTGGGGTGGGGGCCAGGGATGCCCCAGAGCTCCCAGGCACCAGAGGGCAGAGGTGCCCTGGAGCTCACAAGCAGTGGGGAGACCCCGAGGTCCCGGCCACCACGGGCGGCAGGGAGATCCCGAACTTCTGGTCACTGTGGGCGGCCGGGGTGCCCCTGAGCACAGAGCCACCGCGGGCAGCCGGGGTGTCCTGGAGCTCCGAGCTGCCACGGGTGGTGGAGGGACACTGCAGCTCTGAGCCACGCAGGTTTGTTGATTTCACCTTGTTGATTTCACCTTGACTGGACAGTTGTTTTGCTTTATTCTTAGTTTAGTTTAATATTATTAACAGTAGCTTAGCTTTGGTGATAAAGTTCCTTTGCTTTTATCTTTGTTTAAGTGTTCTAAAATTTTTTATAAACAATCATATTTCTTTTAACAAGCAATCTGGGTCCAGATCCCTTTGAGACCTGGGATAGATACCAGCCAGTCAACCTAAAATCCTGTCCTGCTCCCCTAATAAGCCTATGGTTCTCATAGGATATACCCTGGACACACATGACGGGGAGGAGAAGGGAGGTGGGGGCCACAGATTAATAAAAAAAATCAGAGAACAGAAAGGAAGCAAAGAAGCAGCAGGCAGGTTCTCAGAGGGATGTCAAAGAGTTTGTCAGACTGGAGAGATGATGTTTTACAGGCCTCAAGAGTTATTTCAGGACCTGCTGGCATCCTGAAAGATAAGCCTGGAAGAACCATGACTGCTGCCCAACAAAATTAGAGCGGTTCCAGAAAGAGAGAGAGAGAGATGGAACCTGCAGCGTAAGGTCTGCTGGATAGGTTTCTGCTCTACACTGGGGTCAGTTTTAATCTGGGCTGTGCCCCTTCACAGGCAGCCTCCCACTATATATAACATCATTTAAAATGTTTGTTTCCAGATACTGGGGAAAAATCTTACCAACTGCTCCAGATACGCACTGAGAAAATGTTCTTTGGTCAAGTGGTCTGCGATCCAACAGCACTGGGTTTGTTGTGATCGGAGCAGCTGGCAGGCTGTCATTGGCACGGTCCCCAGGGGTGGCCCGTCCATATAGACGAACTAGGCGGTCGCCTAGGGTGCCAAGTTAAATGGGGGGAAATTCGAGGAAAAAAAATCAAATGGAAAAAAATACAAATAAAATAACAAAGATGTCATTATTTCAATTCCCATGCGTGTACGGAGGGAATATGAATTATAATTCATTTCTCTACATTTCTGAGAATTTATTAATATGTTAAATCTTTAATTTACTGCAAAAATAAAAAATATTTTGGCGAATTTTTTTTTCAATTTGTGACGCAGGGTCAAGATGACACTCCGCAATTTTGATAAGCAATAACTCAGCCACAATGAAACACATCCGCCAGTGGCAAGAGCTGCAATGCTAGTGACACCTAACTCAAATATACATCAAGGTCGCATAGCTGGAAATTCATGTAGAGTGGAGATATCACGAGTTGATACATGTCAAACGGTCATTTTAACACACATCGCAAGTAGATGGTTAAGAATCAAGCGAATACCGTGGAAAATTGTATTTCTTGGTGCCAAAGAATAAAGAATAACATCTTTCAGCATTATAAATCCAAAATGTGAGTATCTTTAAGCGTTATTATTGGGCTGTATAATTATGAACTTTTCTTTGTTATAACTGGTTCACATGTAATAAATAAGGTACATAAAAAAGTAACAGCGTTAACGCTTAATAGACTACGAAAGTGATGACGTCACACTCCAAGCAGGTAACCAGGAGGAAGGGGATTTACTTTCCAAACAACCGGTGTCGGGTTATAACATCGAAAAAGGTCATGTTGTTGCCGTGTAAATGCTGTAACTAACTGTTTTAATAGGTAAGTGAGTGTATGTTACTAATCATTGAACCTTTAAGCAGTGAAAAGACGTGTTGGGATGGCTGCAATGTGGTTTAAATCACCAATCATGTGGTGGGTGTGTCAGCCATTCTTAACGCTATAATGCTTACAGTCGGGAGCACAGTACATAACAATATTCAAATGCCCAATGGCAGAAAGAGGAAAAAGAAAAGCCTCAGGAGCTGAGTATTGTAAATGAAAGGCTAAGAAGGAAAAGGACCAAGCAAAACAGGAGGGAACCTTCCTGAAATATCTTCTCTTTAATCCAAATAAAGATGGAAGCAGTTCACAGCATCCAGATGAAGGAATTTTACTTGGAGGGGAGGTTAGCTCACATCCGCATGGAAGCAGTTTGGAACATCAAGATGAAGGTATATTACTTTATGATGAGGGTAGCTCACATCCACAAAAAAGCAGTTTGGAAACTCAAGATGATGGAAAGCTTACTTCTAGATGAAGGCAGCTCATAGCATCAGACTGATAGGGAAGTAGAGAAAATTTATTCACCTTCAGAGACACATGCAGAAATTGAAGTAAATGAAGTAGAAGGAAGAAAGGATGAGGAAGTTACAAACAAGTTACAAGTATCAGGGTAGCTGTGTTAGTCTGTATCCACAAAAACAACAAGGAGTCCGGTGGCACCTTTACAGTATGGGGACCCAGCTTCATGGCCCAGATGTGATGACAGTGTGTGGCAAATTCTCGTGAAACATGGACGAACAAGTTCATGAATTTCCCTTCCCTAAGGATGGAAATAAAAGAAAATTCTCTGCTCAGCATTACAAGAGGAAACTCATTAATGGGGCAGAAATTCATCAAAACTGGTTACAATATTCAGTGTCAAAGGACTCTGTTTTGCTTTTGCTGCAAGTTGTTTAGAAATCAAGCAATTGGTACATCACTTACTGAAAATGGTTCGAAGGACTGGAAAAACATATCTTCAATTCTCTCTTCACATGAAAGAAATACCGAACATTTGTAATGTTTTCAAAATTGGAAAGAACTTGAATTATGATTTGAAAAAAGGAAAAACTATCGATTAAGAAAATGTACGTGTGATCAAGGAAAAAGAAGAATATTGGCAACAAATATTAGAGCATCTGATTGCTTTAGTGAGAGTTCTCGCTGGGCAAAATTTAGCATTCCGTGGCCGCGGTAGAAATGAAAAATTATATACTCCAGGTAATGGAAACTTTTTAAAATTTGTTGAATACCTAGCTGTGTTTGATCCAGTCATGAAGGAGCATCCACGTAAAATAACTGATCATGAAACACAGGTTCATTACTTAGGAAAAAATATGCAGAATGAACGGATTCAAATCCTAGCAAATGCCATTAAAAAGAAAATTGTAGAAGCTGCCCATTCTGCAAAATACTTTTCAATAATACTGGACTGTACACCAGATGTGAGGCATGTTGAACAAATGACAATGATCATTCGTTTTGTGGATATGGAAAAGTCTGCAGATGACAATGTTGAAGTGCTCATAAAGGAACATTTTTTGGGTTTCTTATCACTGAAGGAGACGACTGGAGCATTTATGACTGAAACTATTCTACAAGAGCTTGAAACAATGTCTTTATCTGTTGAAAACGTACGTGGCCAAGGCTATGATAATGGGAGTACACCTCTACCTTGATAGAACGCTGTCCTCGGGAGCCAAAAAAATCTTACCGCGTTATAGGTGAAACCACGTTATATCTAACTTGCTTTGATCCACTGGAGTGTGCAGCCCCCCCGGAGCACTGCTTTACCTCATTTATATCCAAATTCGTGTTATATCGGGTCACGTTATATCGGGGTAGAGGTGTAATATAAAGGGTAAAGACAATGATGTGCAAAGGAGAATGATGGAAATCAATCCTAGGGCCTTTTTCGTTCCTTGCAGTGAGCATTCTCTGAATTTGGTTGTCAATGATGTTGCTAGATGCTGTTTGGAGGCAAGCAGTTTCTTTGACCTGTAGCAACGTGTTTATGTGTTTTTCTCAGGCTCAACATGCGGTTGGGAGATTCTGACTCGCTATGTGAATTCTCTAACTGTGAAACCACTTAGTCAGACAAGATGGGAGAGTCTCATTGATGCTTTGAAGCCTCTTCGCTATGAACTTGGAAACATTTATGATGCCCTAATTGAAATTTCTAATGATACTACCTTTACTGGATCATCTGGCAATATGGCACGTTCAGATGCAGAAGCTCCTGCAATTGGCCTTTCCACGTTCAAATTTTTGACTTCCCTCATTTTGTGGTATAATATCCTTTTCAAGATTAACCTCACTAGTAAGCAGTGTGATGGGGCAAGGCCAGATGGCTATAGAAAAGGAATGGGAGATAGATATATTAGCCCCAGGCTAAACAAATTCCTGGTACCAGGATAAGTAAATGGTAGCTGCTCCAGGTCAATTAAGACACCTGGGGCCAATTAAGATCTTTCCAGAAAGCAGTGGAAATTGCTAGGTTGATTGGGACACCTGAAGCCAATCAGGGGCTGGCTGAAACTAGTTAAAAAGCCTCCCAGTTAGTCAGGTGGATGCGCATGTCAGGAGCGGTGAGAAGTTGTGCTGTTGGAGAGACTGAGCTGTATACACCATACTAGGTACAAGGAAGGAGGCCCTGAGGTAAGGGTGAAGTGGATCTGGAGGAAGTGGGGGCTGCTGTGGGGAAGTAGCCCAGGGAATTGTATGTGTGTGTCCTGTTCCTAAAAGGTCAGTTACCATAGCTGATACTATTAGGGTCCCTGGGATGGAGCCCAGAGTAGAGGCAGTAGCGTAGCTAGCGGGATGCAGGGGAAGCAGCCGCTTCCCCTCACCCCTTTGCCCCAAAGCGGTGCCTTTCCAAAGCCAGCCACCGGCCGGAGGAGCAAGGGGGGAGCGCAGGCTGGCTGCCCGCAGCATGGCCGGCAGCCATGGGGGGGGGGCGCGGGCATGCGGCCAAAGGAGCAGAGGGGCGCAGCATGCGGCCCGACCCCGCAGCCACGGCTGGAGGAGTGAGGGGGGACGCAGGCTGGCCGCCCACAGCGCGGCCGGCAGCCATGGGGGGGCGGCGGGCGCATGGCTGGAGGAGTGGGGGGGGGGGCACAGCATGGTGGCCGGAGGAGCGGGGAGGAGGGGTGGTCAGTGGTGCAGCCGGAGGAGGAGCCAAGGGGGTGTGTGGCCAGAGGTGGAGCCAAGGGGGGTGCCATTTTTAGGTTTGCTCCCCCTCCTCTTAAAACCTGGCTACGCCACTGAGTAGAGGGCGGGCCCGGGCTCCCCCTTTACCTCCTGATTAATCACTGAGACTGGGAGACAACAGAGACTGTGAAAGGGAGGATCGCTTCTCCTCACCTCCCTCGCTGGCTTATGATGAAAATGGCTCAGTAGACTGTGACCCTTGTCTCTAGAGAGAGAAGGGTTAAGAGGAGGGTTACAGTGAGCCTCTGAGGCTAGCTAAATCCGTCAGGAAATGCAGGACCCATGGAGACAAGGACAGAGCTTTGTCACAGCAACTTCAGGAAAATAACTTGAACATACATTCTGCTTTTCAAAAACTGCAGCAAACTAAAAATATTCTGGAGGAATTCAGAAGTGATGAAGGGTTCGAAAGAACACTGGTAGATTCTCTCAAGCTTGCTGAAGAAATAGACTTTCCAACAGAATTTGAACCAGAGCCACTTCGCATTCGGCAAAAGAAACAGCAGTTTTCATATGAAGGACGAGACACACCCATTCAGAACCCAAAACAAAGGTTCAAAGTGAATTTCTACTTCGCAGTCCTTGATACTGCTATTCACTCGGTTGACGAAAGATTTCAACAGATGCAGCAGCTAGAGCTAATTTGGCTTTCTAGATGATATCCACAGCTTGCAAAAGAAAACAACAAAACAGATAAGAGAATTTTGTATAAAACTGGAGTCGGCATTGACTCATGAAAATTCAAGAGACATTGATGCTACAGATTTGTGTAGTGAGCTTCAGGCTTTTTCAAAATGATTTAAGAAACATTCCACTCCTGAAGAAGTACTGAAGTTTGTTTCTGAAACATTTTTCCAAACATTTTTAAAGCTCTATGCATTCTTTTAACTTTGCCAGTTTCCGTAGCTGGTGGGGAATGTAGCTTCTCAAAGTTAAAATTGATAAAAACATATCTGCGTTCAACAATGGTGCAAGAGAGACTTGTTGGACCTGCCACAATGTCAATAGAGCATGAAATAGCTGGAAAAC